TGCTATTGTCTCCTCCAACCCCACACCACATTATTTATTATCTAGCCTAAAATAGGAACAGAATTTCTTATTAAACGGGTTCTGATAATATACATAGCAGCAAGAGATAAATCCCCCACATCTTTTGCAATATGCCAGCGGAAGTGTCTGGAATGCTAAAGAGTCAGCAGCGCTACAGAATGTTCCTTCTTTTCCCCTCATGTATATCGCTCCCCCTTCCCCTGCTACATGCTTCAGATCTCATTTGAAAAACTTCAGCAAGCCAGGAAAAAATGCACTAAGTACAGACTCATATATTTTCTGCTGATGAACATGAGCCACGTGAGCGACTGATAAAGTGGTGCCCCCCTTTTTTTCTGCAGAGGGAACCAACTGGCACGGCAGAGTTATGAGCTTAAACTCGAAACTTCATAATCACCCTATTTGTTAATGCAATTATGGAATTGTTTGCAGCTCCCGCAGGTGCCAGTCGGCTGCAGCATTCAGCTACATTTAAAGATATTTTATTGTCTTGTTTAGGATGATGAGCAAGGCTGAGAGAGCACAGCAGGGAAGAAGAGAAGAGATGTAATTTTCTGGTCCAGGATCAACCTCCTATAAACCAGGCAGTGTCAAGAGGGTGCATCTTGGAAATTTCTCAAGCATATCTTAGATGTGTTTCTCTCTTGCTTTAATACTAGACCAAACAGGAACACAGAGACGTAAGAAATTCTGATTCTCTTCCCTGTTTTCCCTGATTCTGCAAGCCTGATTTTTATTCCCCCTCCACCTTCACCAATCCTTTTTCAGAAAACAAGAGTGCTGCACCATCTGTTTCCAAAACTTTGGCATCCATACTGTGGTCATATGAAGTTGAATCTTACCTATGGTAAGCCCACTCCCAGAAGGGAATGGGATGTGACTAATTTTATTCAGAGATTTGCCATTGCTCTCCTCTCAGCCTAGGATACTGTGACTTGGCCATGGTCATCCAGTGGTTTTCTATGGCTGAGTGGTGTTTTGAACTCCAATATGCTGATGACAACATCGTCTGTGTGCAGCCACCTCTCCACAAAAGTCAACATTGACACTGAAACAACACCGCCTGAGCTCTGCGAGTACAGCATTTTTCTGAATGAAGCAGAGAGTGTTTGAAGACCGGGACATCTGTAGGGAGACCAAGGTGCTTGTTTATAAAGCCACTAGCGGTCCCCTGCCATGCGTTGCTGTGGCCCAGTCTGTTGATCTGGAAAATAAAGTAATGAGAAAGTGTTGGTTTCTAATCTATGTAATGTCTTGATGCTTGTGGGTAAACAGTATTTCTTGCTGTATCTTTGCCAGTGTTGATGTGGAGATTGTCTGGTTTGCCCACCCTGGAACATGCAACATATTGTTGTCCTTCTTTAGGGGTCTCTTTCAAATCTATGGTACTATATCTGTCATAAACATGTGTGTGTGWGAGAGAGAGAATCATATGTATTTATCTATATTTATGGCTGGATGGCTCTTTGTCAGGAGGGCTTTATGTTTTCTTGCCCTGGTGAAGGGAGTTGGACTGGATGATCTGAAGGCAGCATTTCTCAACCTGGGGTTTGGGACCCCTGGGGGGGGGGTTGTGAGAGGGTGTCAGAAGGGTCACCAAAGACCACCAGAAAGCCCAGTATTTTTTGTTGGTCATGAGGGTTCTGTGTGGGAAGTTTGTCCCAATTCTGTCATTGATGGGGTTCAGATGCTCTTTGATTGTAGGTGAACTGTGAATCCCAGTAACTGCAACCCGCAAACTCCATTTGTGTTTATATTTGGGCATATTGAGTATTTGTGCCAAGTTTGGTCCAGATCTATCATTGTTTGAGTCCACAGTGCTCTCTGGATGGAGGTGAACTATAACTCCAAAACCCAAGATCAATGCCCACCAAACCCTTCTGGTGTTTTCTATAGGTCAGGGGAGTCCTGTGTGCCAAGTTTGGTTCAATTCCATCATCGGTGGAGTTCAGAATGCTCTCTGATTATAAGTGAACTATAAATCCCAGCGACTACAACTCCCAAAGGACAAAATCATATTTTTGAGTGATGGTCACTCTTTGTGTAGTGAGACGTTTTGTTGCCAAATTTGGTGTGATTTCGTTCATTGGTTCTTTTGTTTTTAAGGTACTCATTATGCACAGAGCATTTTTATATATATAGATTGTCCTCCCAACCCTGCTATATGCCTGCGAGACGTGTGCTTTTCCTGCATGGCAGGGGGTTGGACTAGATGACCCATGTGGTCTCTTCCAGCTCTATGATTCTGTGATTGATGAGTCAATACATAAAGAATCATAATTCTTTTGAGTTGTTGTTACACCTGAGAGCACAAAACAATCCACTGATGACACAGCAAAAGGTCACACTGCCAACTTGGCTAAAATATTTTGTCAAATCTTCATCACAATGGAGAAATGTTGAGATTTTTGTACCAGATGAAAAAAGATTCTATTCCTGCAGCCTTGATCTAAAAAGTTCTGCCTGATTTTTTGATAAACCCAAATCTCTGACCAGATCGTTCAGCTCTCTCTGAGATATTAAATGAGCATCATTGGGTGTTGATGGCACAAAGTCAGGATCAGCATCAGCTTCCATGGTCGGCAATCTCTCAGCCCAAGCAGACTACTTGGTTAAACAGGGCCGAGCAGGCAGCAAAGCTGGATGACAATACTCAGGCCCCAGGGTCCCTCCTGCAGCAAGGCCCAACAAAGATTATGATGATTACGCTGGCTGGGAACAGTCAAAGTGCTTTGTCCAACCTTTTTTGTTCAGCAAGGTTTCAAAAAGGCGATGGTCCTTTGGGCTATGTCTTGTTAACATTTTATAGAAAAATTTAAACATTTTATATGAAGAAATTGATACTATATATAAAAGGATACAAGTCACGCAGAAGGTTAGAATTAATAGATATATTTTATTCAAGGTGTTCTGGTACAGCCGTACCAGGAGCTCCAGCTTATCTTGCTATTTGTTGAGTGTTGTGTGTTTTTTAAAGTTCTATGCATTTGCAGTTAGATGGCTTTCCTTACTTTGCAGTTATTGGGTCACTGTCAATTATCATTAGGTTCCCTAGTTCCGCCCCCTTTTTGGGTTTTGGAGGGAATAGGAGCCATTTTAGGCCAGTCCACACAGAGAAGTCTTTCTTGCAGGACTTAAACCAGGACCTCCTGTAAAAGGCTTCATCATTTACAGCTTGGCCGGGGAGAAGTAGCCCCATAGCTTGGCCAGGGATATACAGTCTCAGCACAGCTTTTGCTGGGGACTTTACAGTTTGCTGAGGAACTTACAGCCTCTCAGCTCTCTTGCTAGGGATCCAGTCCCACAGTGCTTCAGCCAGCCATCACTGGGAAGTGAACATCTTCCTCCTCCTGGAAGTTCTGCAAAGGTCTCTGTTCGGTAAGGGCCCTTTGCGGCAATCATAAAGCAGATTGGACCGGGTGTAGGGGCCCCACGCCAACAGAAGAGAAGACAGATTGCCCAGGGTAGAGGTCAGGGATTTTACCAACAGTGAAGGAACAGTTGCCTGCCCTTGGGGGCAAGATCGAGAAAGCCAACAGTTTATTAAAAAAACTTTGAATCCAATAGTTGAAGCCTTGTTATTTGTTCAGTAATAAAGGTTTTGTTGCATCTTTAAAGACTTTGAAGCCCATCTTTTCCGGAAAATCCCAAAAAACCTCTCTCTGAGGCAACCCCGGCATCCTGTTGGGCTCACAGAAATTAAGTCATGTTTATAGTCTTATATAGGAGCCCAGCGCGCGACAGCACACAAGGGTTGACACAAAGTTTTTGGGAGTTTGATGCTGCCGCTGGTCCGTTCCTGATATCCTTTTTCTCCGCAACTGCAAAAGTCCGGAAAAGAATTTAAAAGTTGTATTTTTATTTCTGAACTCTTGAGAGAACCATAAATCATTGGAGGGTAGGGGGTTAATCATGGTTTTTTTTTTTGGGGGGGGGGTTACCCATGTTTGGTAGAAAGCCGTCGTTTTTGCAGCGAATCAGAAAGACTCAACATAGTGCTGTGGTAAAAACAATATATTGTCTTGGGGCACCTTAAAGGTTATTGTCCATATTGTTTGCCTCAACTAAAAGAAAGCCATTGAATCAATTGGATTTATATCAATATTGACTTACCATTAAGCAATTGATTCAGTGGGACTCTTCTAGCTGTGACTAGCAATTGGATTCAGACCTAGATGAGAATCCACTTCAT